TTTACATGCGCCCCGCCGCGCCCGCGGCGGTCAGGCGCTTCGCGGGCGAAGGTAAGCTCGTGGAGCGCGAAACGCAAAAACATCAGGTGTGCGCTGTGGGGTCAGGATGCTTTGTGGCGCCGAGAGCGCTATCCGACTTTAAGGGACGCAGGATGAGCTGGCGGACGTGCCGACGACCGGCCGACGACCGACGACGACCACGACCGCGACCACGACCACGACGATAACGATGACGACGACGACGACGACGACTAGTTCGGCGCCGCTGGTCGGGATAGCCAGCCGAAGAGAACCCAAGGGCGGCCACTGTCGCTCTGGAGTTTCTCTGGGCGTCAGGACTCCGGAGGGACCGGCGGAAGTATCATTGGGGTGCGCGACGCGGGAATCAACATATGGGGCAACTCGACGGGGGGAAAGTTTCAGTGGGATTTGCTATCGGGGGTTCATCGCCGATATATCGGCGACGCATCGCCGAATCCAGCTCAACGTTTTCCCCCGTCAGCTGGTCTCCAGCGTTCCCATTAGCAGGATGGTGTTCTCCAGTGCCGATAGCGTCATCCAAGTGTCGGGAACGGGGGAGGGGAGTTGCCGATTAATTGGAACCGTTCCTCGTGAATGGGCCACGGTGCTCTGGGCCACGGATCGTGCGTACGCGCGGTAGGCGATGGGTCAATTCGTCTGTTGGCAATGTGGCTTTGTGCTGGCGATCGTGACGGGAATGTTTCTGCATCGGGGGGTACCCATAGTTGCTCCGCAGCATGATGATGATGATGATGATGATGATGATGATGATGATGATGATGATGATGATGATGATGTTGATGTTGATGTTGATGTTGATGATGATGATTGCGAAGGCCTTACGGCCGGTGCCGCAGACCCTGAATGGCGACGACGACGACGACGACGACGACGAGCGCTCTTGGGGGCCTCTTGGGGGTAGTTTGTGGGCCTCTTGCGAAGGTCTTAGGGGCCGCTTGGAAGCCTCGTGGGGGCCTTTTGGGGCTTCCTGGGGGTCTCTTGGAGGGGGCCTGGGACGTCTTGGAGGCTTCTTGGACGGTCTTGGGGCTGTCTTGGGCGTTTGCGGCAGATCTTTGGGCGACTCGGGGCCCTCTTGGGCCGTCTCGGGGGCCATCTTGGGCATTCGGACCTCATTTGGAGTGTTTTCGAGGTTTCTAGGCCGCCCGAGGAAAAACGAATCTGCCCCCCCACCCCCCCCGGGACCCCCCCCCCCGGGGAAGGGATCGAAGGGAAGGGGCTTCCCTTCGACTCGATTACGACACTGCTAGATTTTTCTCTCGCTCACGAGGTTGAGAAGGAAGCTGCAGAACAAGGGGACGACGGAGGCGACGACCGACGGAGACGACGAGTCGAACAGCCCAGCCCCTCGCACACGCCGACAGGGTCGGCGGAGTTTGATGATGATGGTGATGATGATGATGATGATGATGATGATGATGATGATGATGATGATGTCTTCTCTCGCTCTGCTGATGCACCTGGGCGCACCTTGACACGGATCATCATCATCATCATCAGCATCATCATCATCATCATCATCATCATCATCGTCATCGTCATCATCATCATCATCATCCTCATCATCATCATCATCATCATCATCTTTATCGTGAACAATCCGGTGATACAAACAGCTGCCGATGGGGTGGTGTTGGCCCCACTTGACACGGGCCTGTCAAGCCGCACACCGCTCCCGGTGGGCGAAGTGGGCACAGGCTTGGCCGTGCCGGAAGCCGTCTAGGAACAAGCGCGGGGAAGGCCAGCGGAAAAGGAGGGAGGAAGGAGGAGGAAGAGGAGGAGGGAGGAACAGGAACAGGAGGAGGGAGGAACAGGAACAGGAACAGGAACAGTAAGAGGAGGAGGGAAGAAGGAGGAAGAGGAGGAGGGAGGAACAGGGGATGAGATCGACGGTGATCATACAGTGGCGGCGACGAGGAAGAGAAAGGCAAGGGTGGGGGCTTGCAAGAAGAAGGGGCGTGAAGCGGAGAAGGAGGCCGACGAAAACGACAACGGCAAAAGGGGGATACAATAGAACAGTGTGGGAGGGATAGGTGGGGAGTCCATTTTGTTCCCAGTCTGTTACAGTCGGTTCGTGCGGCGTCGGCGCGCGCAAAGATTTTTGACACCGCGTCGATCGTTCAACCTTGAACCGATCGCGACTCCGATCGTTCAAGGTTGAATCCCGTCGGGTCTAGTGGCGTTACCGTGTCCATCGAAGCTGCCGCGTCGTGGATTCAACCTTGAACGCATTCGTCGGCGTCGCCGGCGCGCCAACGCCGCACGAACCTACCGTACCTCTTCTTCTCCGCAGGATCATCTTACGCAGTCGTGTTCGGAAGCGGTGGCGTTGCTGCGTCCTGCCTGAAGCCAATAAGGGGTTTGGCAGGCGCGTCCCATCACGGTTCGTTTTTGTTGTCGTGTTTTGATGTTGCGCAATCCCGTTCTGGAGGTTGGAATCCGATTGTTTTGATGGGGCGCGGCAGCACCATGTCCAGCCAATGCGACATACCAGTGTTGGTCAAGAATGCGGTATACGTGGATGCAATTTCCACGTCACGTGCCATCGATAGTGCCACGGTGTATGGTTTTGTCGTATTCCGTTTGCGTAGCATCTTGGCAGCGGTTGGGGGGGTAACCAATTTAGTTGCTTGCGGCACGTTCCGCCCTCGCGCCATCGCGATGGATTGGCCGTTGTTTTCGGTTCCAAGGACTTGGCAACAATGCGCGTTGCACCCTCCGCCCCACCCCACCATAACGTAACTCCCTCCCCCTTTTTTCCCGCAGTGCGCCCCAGGCGTTGCCGCAGCGCGCGCGTGCACCATAGCTTCGTAGTAGGGCGTGGTGGCAGCGCTTGCGTCGCGCTAGCAGGCCAATGCAGCGCAACGCCGTTTATTCTCGTGGCCGCGAGCTCTTGCAGCACTCGCAGATCGCAATGGTGTTCGCAGGGTCGCTGCATGTGCTCGTACGCGTTGAGCGGATGTCGTAAGGTTTTGTAGCACTTGCAGGGTCAAGCATGCGATTGAGCACGCGTGTGGCATTCGCAAAGTAAAGTACCTTGGCACTGGCAGGGTACAGCTTCCCTCTCCGCTCGGTGGTCGCTGACACATCGAAATTGTGATGATCACGCTGCTCATAGCCACGCCGTGGAGATCGCAGGTTCGTTGTTGTTCGGCATCGGCGACGATGTAGCTGGGAATGGCTGGCCCCTTGTGTGCCCGCGGGACCCAGAAATTTTGCAACTCCAGGTTCGAGTGCTGGTATTGTTCGAGGGAGCGAACTCAGATTACAAGGCGCGTGGATTAGCGGCGGGTCCCGCTTCCATGCGAAAGCGCCGTTATCCGTTGCCAAATTGGGCGTCATTCGCCTCATGTTTAGGCGAGTGTTTTCCCAGATCCGTGTGTTCCTCTTGCTTCGCGGTGCACGTCTTGAGTTTGTAGAGTATGAGCGTTTGGGCTTTCTTGGGAGCCTTCACGAAGCCTCTCGGGGACATCTTGGGGCTGCTTTGGGGCCTGTTGGGGGCCTGTTGGGGCCTCTTGTAAGAATTGTCGGTCGTCATCGGGCGTTGTTCGGCCCCTCGGAGCCTTCGGAAGCTGTCGTGGAGGCCTTTCCGGCTCGTCATGTTGCCTCCTTGGTTCCTTCACGGGCTGTCTTGGGGGTCTCTTGGGCCGTTTTGGGGCCGTCTCCTTGCACTCCCTGCCTTCCGCATCCCCTCCCAACGCTCATCCTCGTCGCCCTCCGCCTCGTGGGGCAGCCCGTCATCCTGGTCGCCCTCCGCCTCGTGGGGCAGCCCATTGGGGGTGCCAGCATCCCCGTCCGGCAGGAGCCAGAAGCGAGGGCCCGAGGCCAGCGAGAGACCTGGGAGGCGGGAGGGCCGCGGCAGGCGAGGCGAGCCGGCGGAAAAGCCTGGGCGCGGGGTGCTGCCAGCAGTGGTCTTGGCCCAAGGTTTGGCATCGCCCTCCGGCGTGTGCCTTCTTGCTCGGCGAGGCCAGCGTCATAGAACCTGGACCATCTTGGATCGTCTCGGTAAACATACGCGCACGAAGCCCAACAATCCACGGGGAACGGACGTCCGAGGTATGGCGAGGCCCAAGGTTTAGGTGTGTTATGCGTGACACCATTTCAGGCATGAGTTCTTGTCTGCCCTGGCTGCTAGCGTTTGCCATTGCGCATTGGTGCTCGCTAGTAGGCGCGAATCGTCGTCAATCTGCGCTACTAGATGTTAACTTGCGCACTGATAGGCCCCAAAGGCGCTAATTGGGCGGAGCCTGCCTGAAAATCACCCCCGCTCATAATACGCATAACCAGGTGCCTTTGGCTTCCCATGCCATTCTGGAGCGCCCCTGGGGCCCCCTGAGCCTCGTGATAGGAGTGCCCTGGAGTCACTCTGGAGGCCAGGGGCACACTCGGCAACACCCCAGGGGAACGAATGATGACATCAACGTAAAAAAGTCGTACGTCCGCGCGGATCTCTTGGATGCCTCCAGAGTGACTCCAGGGCTCCCCTGTCACGAGGCTCAGGGGGCCCCAGGGGCGCTCCAGGATGGCACGGGAAGCCAGGGGCACCTGCTTCTGTTTACCGTGTGTGGGAGTGATGGGGTGCTCTCATGGAGTCACCCTGCTTCATGTTTATGCCATTCTGCGTCCCCCCTACACCTGGGCGCGTGGTGTGTGCGGAGCTCCCCGGGGCCCCCCGAGCCTCGTGAGGGGGGGTGCCCGGGAGTCGCTCTGGAGGCCAGGGGCGCACGCGGCAGCACCCGGAGGCGGTGGTGGCTGGGCACGGCCGCCGCCCGCACAACAAAAAACTCAGTCGGGCCTGTCCCTCTACAGGAGGAATATTCAAAAATAGTCAAAAAATAGTATGGGGACGATTTATGCGTGTTTTTAAGCATTATTGAATATGTCTCGAGTGTCTTTTATTTTTCCTCGAAAATCAGCCTGTAGGGGGACAGGCCCGACCTGAACAAAAAACACGCCGCCAGGCGCAGCCGGCGCCGCGGCCGCCGCTGCCGCGCCGGCGCCCCGCGCCCTCTTCGCCGCGGCCCCGGCGGTCGGCGAGACGTCGGGGCAGCCAGCAGTCGTCGGGGGCGGCCAGGCGGGGTGTGATGACTACCGTCGGGGGTGGACAGACCTCCTCGTCGATTAGCGAATTGGCCATTTTCGGTTCGCGAGAGGGCGTCGCGGCCGGCATTTTTGCGGGTCCAGGTCCGTCGGTTTCGGTTCCAGGCCGTTTTCACTAAAAGAAAGGTCTACTAAAGGGAGGCTTGTCCACCGCCGATACTGGGGGGTGCATCTCATAGCGTGGGCCATGGTATCTTCCCAGATCGCATGGCGCCTCTTCTCATTTCAATACGTCCCTGGTCCCCCCCCCCTTGGGGCCGCGCATATGCCGCCGGCCACGATTTGCGCCCCCCCCTCTTGGACGCCCCCTCTTGGCCGCCCCCGAGTCGGGCAGCGCCAGAAGGGAGGTCACCAGTAGGGGTACCGCAGACATCATCGCGCCGTACTAAAACAAATCAGGGCGGCGGGTTTCTTGTTGGCCGCTGTCGGCCTCGGGGAGCCCTCGCCGGGCCTCGGGACCGTCGAAACCAAGTCGGGATGACAAGCCGGTCCAGTCGAAAGGGTCTGGACTTCCAAGGATGCCGTCCTGCAAAAAAAAGCAGGACGGCGCAGGAGGGAAAGAAACACACAGACACAATTAATCGTCGATCCCCCGGAAAATATGGGAAGTGGGGGGGCAAGACAAAGACCCAGAAAATATGGGAAAAGATTGGGAATCCTTTTATTTGTGTGCATTTATTTGTGTGTCCCAGGGCCCCTTCAACGGCGCATGTCTGGGGCCGCCTCTCCTCCCGAGGATGGAGGCTCCAGGACCGCTGCTCCAGCAGGAGGCTTCTGGACGCCTTGGGGCCCTCTCCGGGCTCTGGAGCGTTCCGGGGGGGGGCCCGTCTTCTCGAGGAAGGGGCGGTTACCTTCGAGGCGTTGTCAACCCTCCCAGTGGTGACCCCCCTGTGCCACTGCCTGGCTATCGTGGGGGGGGGTCGAGCTGACAGTGCGGCAGGGCCATCGGGGCTATTGCCAGTTTCTGTTGGCCGTCGCTTTGGGGCCCCAGTTTGAGTGCCTCGGGTCTTCTCCTTCCTCCTTTTCCTCCTGTCGTCGCAGTCGTCTTCATCCTCTTTCCCCTCCCTCTGGCGGTGTGCCAATCTATCCTGCCGCGTGTCCGCCGCTGTAGCTTCCAGCGTGCTACGTCTCGGGGTCGACAAAACGCCAGGTCCCACATTTCTGGCTACATGCTTGGCTTCGTGCCTCCATCTTCGTCGTAGTCGCCTCCCTTCTTCTCCGGTGTCACGCATCTTCTGCCGCACACGCCACAGGAGCCACGACGTAATGAAATATAGCGGGTCCGTCGATCGGTGGATTAGGCGCTGGGCGGCCTGCCAGAGTCTGTTGACCTGCTGTGCGAACTTCACTTGGGGGTATGTGGATGCTTTTTGCTGGATGACAGGAACCACAGTGGAGGGGAGAATCACAACAACTACGAACGAACACGAACCCCATGATCAGGATGTGCTGATCAACTGCCCTTAAGTCGGGCGTGTCCCTGTACAGGGGGAATATCCAACAATAGTCGAACAATAGTCTGGGGACGATTTTTTGACAGTGTGTTGACCATATTTGATGTTTTTATTTTTCAAAATACCCGCCTGTCGGAGGACATGCCCGACCTAAACTACCCCTGGGACTCAGCACCTGCCCCGGGGAAGGGCTTCGGGAGGTCCTGGGCCCACGGGCTGAGGCCCCCGCGGCGTCGGAAATACTTGGGCCTCGAGGCCTCGCCACCCCGAGGCATTGCTGCCGCCCAGCGGTCGACGTGCAGCGCGCCACACGCTGCCGGCACACCTTGCGAAGTACGCGGCGCCTCTTCGGCGGAGATGTCTCGCCAGCACTCGTTCGTCGTCCTTCTTCTCCTCCTCCTCCTCCTCCTCCTCCTCCTCCTCCTCCACGTCCTCCTCCTTCTCCTCCTCGTCCTCTTTCCCAGCCGTCCTGAAGTGTTGGGTCTCCGTTTTGAAGAGACGGCGCCCCGCGTTCCCGCCTCCTGCCTTCCTCCCCCTCCTCCCTTCTCCCCCTCCTTGCCTCTGCACTCCACATGCCCATCATTTCGGCACACCCCTCACACGGTTCGTGGCCCCAGAGGGAGCCCCACCGAAGGCCCCAGTGGCATGGTCCGCATGCGCCACCCGCCCATTTCGGCACGCCCCTCACGAGGACCGTGGCCCCATAGGGAGCTCTACCGAAGGCCCCCGCGGCAGGGTCCGCATGCGCCCCCCCGCCCATTTCGGCACGCCCCTCACGAGGATCGTGGCCCTATACGGAGCTCCCTCCAAGGCCTCCGCGGCAGGGTCCGCATGCGCCCCCCCGCCAATTTCGGAACACCCCTCACGAGGATCGTGGCCACATAGGGAGCCCCACCGAAGGCCCCAGTGGCAGGGTCCGCATGCGCCCACCTGCCCATTTCGGCACGCCCCTCACGAGGATCGTGGCCCTATACGGAGCCCCACCGAAGGCCCCCGCGGCAGGGTCCGCATGCGCTCCCCCGCCCATTTCGGAACACCCCTCACGAGGGTCGTGGCCACATAGTGAGCCCCACCGAAGGCCCCCGCGGCAGGGTCCGCATGCGCCCACCTGCCCATTTCGGCACGCCCCTCACGAGGGCCGTGGCCCCGTAGGGAGCCCCACCGAGAGCGGCACCCACAAGCGCATATGCTTGGGTTTTTCGCCAGGATAACTTTTGTTCCTCCTCCTCCTCCTCCTCCTCCTCCTCCTCCTCCTCCTCCTCCTCCTCCTCCCCCTCCCCCTCCCCCTCCTCCTCCTCCTCCTCCTCCTCCTTCTCCTCCTCCTCCTCCTCCTCCTCCTCCTCCTCTTCCTCCTTCGTTCTGGCGAAGGCCTCCCCAGGCGTTGCCTCCCGAGGTGCCCGGGCCGCGAGGCGGGCACTGACCTGGGGCGCGTGCTCGTCGCCCGTCGCCGTGCGACGACTTCTCTGCGAGCTCCTCCCCCAGACATAATCGGAGGTGGACAGACCTCCTACCCTGACACGTCGATTAAGGACATGGCCGTTTTCGGCTCGCCTGAGGGCGTCGCGGCCGTCATTTTTGCGGGTCCAGGTCCGTCGGTTTCGGTCCCAGGCCGTTTTCACGAAGGGGATGTTTACTAAAGGGAGGTTTGTCCACCGCCAACCTAACAATCTAGACATCGAAGAAGAGAATGGCAGAAGCATACATGTCCGACGGTCCGCGCGATTCTCTCGGATCTGCCCTGGTATTCCCGAGGTCCGCTCCCAAAACATACGGGTCTAGAGATCGCAGGAGCAACAAATGGCAGAAACATGAAGGTCCGCGCGGTTCGCTCGTACCTGCGCCGGTGTACCCCCTCCCTGGCGCGCGGAGCGCGCCAGGAGCGGCGCAGCGCCTGAGAGGCCCCCAGGGTGGCCCAGCGCCGATCCGGCAAGTGCGCGCGGAATGGCGACAGTTTCTGTTTATGCCGCCGTTTCTCCCTGTAAGAAAAGAGTTACATCTCGACGATACACCCACATGTGGCTACCCAGACGCACCCTTATCGAGGATGGGCTCCCCCCGTAGCATGCCCCTGTTGGGGGGGGCCGCCCTGCTTGGCAAGTCGAGAGTCGCAGGAAGTCGGGGCTTGGGGATAAGCCATTCCATGCCTCTCGCTACTTATTAATCCCACTCTTCCGCAGTTCACCACCCACCAGCCCACCCCAACCCAACCCGAAGGCCCCGGTGTGCCTTCCGTTTCCAGTTGGGGAGGAGGGTCGGGGAACGTTGGGAAAAGCAAATGGAACCCGTCCCCCCCAACCCGAAATTCGGGTCTTCGGGTTGGGTTGGGGTTGTCTGGTAGGTAGCCAGGGAGGGACCCCCCGTTGCCCATGCGTCGCCGATCCGGGCTGGTGTGTGCCGCACCTTCGTGGCCGAGCCAGGGCCACGTTTCCCCAGCCTGCCCAGCAATGGTGGGCGGGCTCGCGCTCTGGGGCCCATCGCCGATCCATCGGCAATGTATCGCCGATTCTGGGCCACCCCCCTTGGGAGGAGGAGGAGGAGGAGGAGGAGGAGGAGGAGGAGGAGGAGGAGGTGTTCTGGTAGTTAGTCAGCAGTAGCTCATGGCCGGAGCTCGTGCAACGGCCCAGGCCGTGTGTCATGCCAGAGGTGGTCTGGGCCCACGGCGGCCCCGGCTCTTTTTCCAGGGAGGCCCCCGGCGCACCCTTCACGAGGGTTACGTCGGGCGTGTCTCTCTACAGGAGGAATCGTCTGAGATAGTAAAAAATTATGTGGGGGACGATGTTTCGATTATTGTTGACAACTCTTGAGTGTTTTTCATATTCACAAAATCCTGCCAAGATCCTCCTGTCGGGGGACATGCCCGACCTGACACGAGGCCCAGAGGGCCCCATGGCCCATTGGGCCCCACAATATGACGCGACAAGGTTTGGGGGTGTCCTCGGGCCGCGGACGCCTTTGGCCTTTGGCGACTCCGACCCCGGAGTCCGAGTCATGGATTGTTCAACCCGCGGCCCCAGAGGTCCCAAACCCTTCCTCCCAGGGGTGCAGTGGGGACCCATGCCAAGAAACACCCTGCTTGCCTCCAGGGTGCCCTGGATTTCTTGGGATTCGATGGTTTTGCAGTGGGAAGCGTGACGTTCCCACACCAAAAATCCATGGGCGTCTTGGGGTCTCAGGGTTGGGTGTCTTGTGAAAGATTTCTTGTGGCCGGGCCTCCACTGTAGCGCTCCAGCCCGGATCCATTTTGGATGTTTTTGGTTTCCCGTAACGGCCACCAGATGCGAAATAATCATAGAAACAGATGTGGATGGTCGGCGGCCGTGAGATAGTTCCAAGCGGCGGTGAAGCGGCGGCGTGACGCGCCGGGGCACAGCTAGGTACTCAGGGAACTTGGGCGGGTGGTAATGGGGGGGTGACCCAAAGGGGGGGTGAAGAAACAGGCTCCAGAAGCTGCGCTTTAGGGCCCCGCGCCTCCCGACGTGTATGTAGCGTTATCTAGGCTTAGCTCGGCAGGCTCCTCTCTTACTGGGACCCCTGAGGAGGCTACTGAGGCAAGGCTCTGTGGGGCCCCCTGAAGGGTGGGGACCCGCTCCTGGAAATATGCTGCGTGCGGGGCACGCTTAAGCAACCTACATACCTTGCACACGCATAATACTCATTAGCGCCCTACGCACAACACGCACGTACATAACACAAGTATGTTGGACATGTTCTCTTGTATAGTAAGACCGTGATGAAGAGGCATCTATATACATGTATATACATGCACACATCTACATATACATGTACTCGATGGGTAGATCAAATCATTGAGTATCGGTACTTTGTGACGGCTCGAACATTTTGGGGATTCTTGGGGTGCTCCCGTGAGCACGACGGCGAAATTCTTGCCATAACGCGCCCCAGCAGTTACAGATCCAGGGATCGATCTGTGAAGGCGGCGACACCGCCCTCCAGGGCTCGCGAATGAAAGCGCGACGGGAGGTGTCTCTCCCAACGTCTCGGTCGGCGCCCCGGGAGCCGTGGCACGGCGACGGCTCGGGGCGGTTTGGGCGCGTGGCAGCGGGGGGTGGCCCCCATGGGGGCTTTTTGGGGGGCCTTCGCCCCCCCAGCTGGGCCACCCCCCACTCGGGGGTGGGCAGAACCCTCGCCCTGACACGTCGATTCTGTGCTCGAGAGGGCGCCGCCAGGCTTGGGCCCGAGGTCGAATTCGCCAAGCCACGTTTTGCAAAAGGGGGCTCTGTGCATCCCCGACCCACTGCCACCCGCCCGACCGGTGCTCCGCTCTCTGCGCCCGCGCCCCGGCCGTGCCCCGCGAGCCCCCCATTGGGCGCGTGGCAGCGGGGGGGGCCCCCATGGAGGGTGACGACGAGGGCACCGTTCGGGGGCCTGGGCGAGGGCGAGGGCGAGGGCGAGGGCAGCGGCGCCTGGCAGCCCCAGCCCCAGTCCCTCCTCCTCCTCCTCCTCCTCCTCCTCCTCCTCCTCCTCCTCCTCCAGCTCCTCCTCCTCCTCCTCCTCCTCCTCCTCCTCCTCCTCCTCCTCCTCCTCCTCCTCCTCCAGTGGGGCCCTCTGCGCCCGCGGGCCCCGGCCGTGCCCCGCGAGCCCCCCATGGACCGGCTCGGGGTGGTCGGCCCCGCGCCCGGCTCGGGGTGCCGACCCAGAGGGAGGGTGACGGCACGGGCTCCGTTTGGGGGCCCTTTCCTTCAGCCCCCCAGTTTCGGGGGCGGAGAAGTGGGCGGTGATGATTAGGGGGGGTGGATATCATGGCGGGGGCCATGATATCTCCCCGCATTTCATGGCGCCTCTTCTTATTTCATTACGTCCCTGGCCCCCCCGCTGGGCCGCGCACATGCCACTGGTCATGATTTGCACACACCCCTCTTGGACACCCCCCTCGTGGCCGCTCCCAACAGTTGGGCCACCTCCCGCTGCCACCCGCCCGAGCGGTGTGCCGCCCTCTGCGCCCGCGGGTCTCTCGGCCGTGCCCCGCGAGCCTGCGGGGGCCCTGGGACACCCCTAAAGTACCGACGCAAGCGACAAGATTCCCCCCCAGATGTTTGTCCTGGGCAACGTTCTGGATTTCTTCGTCTTCCCCCCCGCTCCCCACATCTTCCCATACTTTCTGGGGAATCGACGCTCAATGGTGTCTGTGTGCTTCTCTCCCTCCTCTGTGTGCATCTCTCCCTCCTGTGACAAGATTCCTCATATTTTTTGGGGGTGTTTTCTGGATTTTCGTCTTCCCCCCCACTCCCCACATTTTCCCACACTCTCTGGGGCATCGACGCCCAATGGTGTCTCTGCGCTTTTGCTCCCTCCTGAGAGCCCCCTGGGCCGGCTCGGGCTCGGCCCCGCGCTCGGCTCGGCCGGCCTCCAAGGCTGCGGGCGCCCGGGGCCTCGAGCCGCCGCTGCCCACGGACGGCGGCCAGCGGCCAGCGCCGCCCCGAGCGGCTGCGGATCGCCTGCCTGGCGGAGTGCGGGCCCGGGGCTCGGGGATCAAGGGAGGAACTCGGGGGCGGCAGAGAGGGGGGTGATGACTAGGGGGGGGGGATATATCATGACGGGAGCCATGATATTTCCACAGATTTCATGGCGCCTCTTCTTAATTCAATACGTCCCTGGCCCTCCCCCTGGGCCGCGCACATGCCGCCGGCCATGATTTGCAGCACCCCTCTTCCCTTCTGTGCCGCTTCCGAGGAAAGACCACCCGGATCGGACAATTGACGTTAACTAAACAGCCCTGGGCGTTTACTAAGGATTCCTGCCCTGTTCGATTCCTTCTTTGGGCGCGTTTGCTAAACGGCCTCGCTTGTCGGGGTGGTTGTTATGGGGTGGATTTGTTCCTTCTAGGTGGGGGCCAGGCCGGGATCGGCGTCGGGGCTCGGGGGGGGGCCAGGCCGGGATCGGCGTCTTAGGACCTCCGCTCCTGGGAGGTCAAATTCTGATTCAGCCCTGGCCCGATATCCCGCTCAATCCGGCTTAATCCCGCTAAATCCCGCTTGATCTGGCGTAATCCAGCTGAATCCCGCTGAATCCGGCTTGATCCCGCTTGATCCGAGGCCCACTCGGGCGTAACAGCCCTCCAATGAGGCTCAATCCTCCTTAATCCTTCCGACGGAAGTCTCCCAGTATTTGCCGCCTAAGCCGTCGGGGCATATCAAGCAGTGGCGAAGCGTCCCAGCTCACTTATATAGGCCTACAACCGAGCTCCACCGAAGGCGCCAGCGTCAGGGTTCGCATGGCGGCCTCGGGCCATTTCGGCACACCCCTCACGAGGATCGTGGCCACATAGGGAGCTCCACCGAAGGCCCCCAGTGGCAGGGTTCGCATGGCGGCCTCGGGCCATTTCGGTACACCCCTCACGAGGATTGTGGCCACATAGGGAGCTCCACCGAAGGCCCCCAGTGGCAGGATTCGCATGGCGGCCCCGGGCCATTGCGGCACACCTCTCACGGGGATCGTGGCCCCATAGTTGTGTTGCTTCAACAACCTTGCCTGGGCGTCGTACTCCGCCTTGTCGACGTGCAACGCCACTTCCTCCCTCATGGTTTTAAAAGCCTTCTCCTGCTTCTGCTCCTCGGTCAGAGGGACGCCGTCCTTGTCGTCGTTGGGGCCCGCGAAGACGGCCACGAACATGTTCATGAGCATGTCGGGCTCCAGCGGGAAGCCGTGGCCACACAGAGAGCGCGGACGAATCTAGTATTCACAATGCGGCATTCACAACTGCATATGGTTGGGTCCTTCGCCAGGCTATTTTTCCAGCTTTCGTCCAAAAATCCGCCTGTGGGGGGACATGCCCGGCCCGACCGAAGCCCAGGCATGCACTTGCGGAGCTCCGCGCATGTATCTTAGGTCGGCGTTGGGGAGATTCCAATCTTTTTGGCGCGCGGAGTGCCCAAGGAGGCGCCCCGCCCGGGGGGGTCTACAGCGCCGACCCTCCAGAAGTCCGTGCGGAGCTCCGCAGTGTGTCTGCTCATGCCGTGTTTTGCTCCTCGGCGAGCGTTCGGGAGCCTGGAAGCTGGGGTCGATGCACACGGTTAGAGGAGGAACACGTAGCCAGATCTTTGCCCTTTCCGCGTGGTTTCCATTGTTGGGCCTCCTCGGAGGCCCTCGTCGCCACCGCTGGACTCGCCTCGAAATTGTCCTCAGAACGCGCCCCGGGAAAAGTCCGGGGAGTAGCGATATCCGTATTTTTCGGTTTCGCTAAACGGGGGTCACGCAGAGCGCCGGATTTTGCAGGATCTTGCAGAGCCACGGGTGCATTGGCCGGGGCTTGCGTGCAGGTTTTTGCTGGACCCGTGCAGGGTCTTGCAAGATCCTGCAAAGCCTGACTGAAACCGGTCTGCGTTGGCCCTGGTCAGTGCAGCCCCTGAATATTTCGCCCTCAGGTTGAGGAGTATCGACTAGACGTAAGAGTGATCCTTCGCCGGAGTGACCTTTGGTGCGGCCCCCATGGGGCCCCCCGATCGCCGAACGCGAGGCTGCAGTGGCGCCTTGCGCGCACATGCGGCCCATCAAAAGCCGCCGCAGGAAAGGTCAGTCTCGCCCAGGGCCGCGCGTGCGTGCAGTCGAGCGTAGGAGCAGGAGCAGGAGCCCGTGGCGATGCCAGTCGCCAGCAACCTTGTCACCCGTGGCCCCGCCAGTGGCTTTCTCGGCTCGGCGGAGGGCTTCCGGGAGGTCCGCACGAGACGACCTCGGGCCGCGCAGTCCTCGCCCCGCGGGCGCTCAGAACCTGGGCGCAGGGCGTCCCCGGAGCGCGCAGTTGCTTTTTGGCAAGTGCCCCACAGCGGCCACGATCCTGCAGGGAGGGGGGGGTGGGGGGTTGGGAGAAGGAGGAGGAGGAGGAGGGGGAGGAGGAGGAGGAGGAGGAAGAGGAGGAGGAGGAGCAGGAGGAGGAGGAGGAGGAAGCGAGGCGGTCAAGATGCTCCCCGTCGATGAGCAGCGCGCGGCCGCGGAGAGCGGAGCCAATGAGCGTCGACGACGACGGACGACGGCGACGACGACGACGACGACCATGACGACGACTACGACGACGATACAGACGGCGACGACGACGACGACGCCAACGGCGGCGGGAGGCGGCGGAGGCGGAGGTGCCGCTCCACGGAGGTGGAGGACGCGCTGCTCCCGGGAGGGCAGGGGCCAAGGGGGGAGAGGCGGGAGAGAGGCGGCCGAGGCCCCGGCTCCGCCCGGGCTGGAGCACTCCGCGGCGGCTGGCTGGCCGCCGCGCCCGCACCAGCCGGAGGCGCGCCATTGTCGTTTTCATGGGCGTGTCCGCCGCGACGACGCCGGCGACGACGACGACGGCGACGAGGACGGACGACGGACGACGACGGACGACGACCACGACGTTGACGGCGACGGCGACGACGACGACGAACGACGGACGACGACGACGAACGACGACGGAAACGACGACGACGACGGACGACGACAAAGACGAAGACGACAAAGACGACGACGACGGACGACGACGACGGACGACGACAAAGACGACGCAAAGACGACGACAAAGACGACGACGACGAGGACGAGGACGACGACGACGAAGAAGAAGAAGGGTGCGAACGAATGGATCTCAGCCCTGAAAGCTCCCTTTTTGGGGCCCTGGAGAGCCCCTTTCTCTCCAACCCTCGCTGCCCCCCCTCTCTGCAGACGCGGGGCCCTTCGTGGCCCAAAACGCCCTTAACGCATGCCCTCCCACGAAGCGACGCCCAGTCGTGGTTATCGTCGTCGTCGTCGTCGTCGTCGTCGTCGTCACCGTCGTCGTCACCGTTGTCGTCGTCGTCGTCGTCGTCGTCGTCGTCCGTAGTCGTCGTCGTCGTCGTCGTCGTCGTCACCGTCGTCGTCCGTCGTCGTTCTCATCGTGGTCGTCGTCGTCGTCGTCGTCCGTCGTCGTTGTCGTCGTCGTCCTTCGTCGTCGTCGTCCGTCGTCGTCGTCGTCGTCGTCGCCGTCGTCGTCGTCCATCATCGTCGGCGTCGTCGTCGTCATCGTCGTCCGTCGTCGTCGTCGTCGCTGTCGCCGTCGTCGTTGTCGTCGCCGTCGTCGTCCGTTGTCGTTGTCCTCGTTCTCGTCCTCATCCTCGTCCTCGACTCGTCGTCCGTCGTCGTCGTCGTCGTCGTCGTGGTCGTCGTCGTTGTCTTCGTCCGTCGTCGTAGTCGTCGTCGTCGTCTTCGCCGGGGGGCCCTGGCAGTGCTACAGAAGACGGAGGCTTGAGGGCCCAGAATGGGTCGCCCCCATTGAGCAACGCCCACCGGTCGTCGTCGTCGCCGTCGTCGTTGTCGTCGTCCGTTGTCGTCCGTCGTAGTCGCCGTAATTATTCTTCGTCGTCGCCTTCGTCCGTCGTCCGTGGTCCGTCGTCCGACGTCCGTCGTCCGTCGTCGTCCGTCCGTCGTCGTCCGTCCGTCGTTGTCGTCGTCGTCCGTCGTTGTCGTCGTCGGCGTCGTCCGCCGTCGTCGTCGTCGTCGTCGTCGTTTGCATCCGTCGTCCGTCGTCCAGCGTCGTCGTCGTCGTCGTCCCTGTCGTCCGTCGTCGTCGTCGGTCGTTTGTCGTCGGTCGTTTGTCGTCCGTCGTCCGTCGTCCGTCGTCCGTTGTCCGTCGTCCGACGTCGTCGTCGTCGTCGTCATCGTTGTTCGTCGTCGTCGTCGTCGTCCGTCGTCGTCGTCGGCGTCGTGTCGTCGTTCATCCGTCCTCCGTTGTCCGTTGTCCGTCGTCCGTCGTCGTAGCCCGTCGTCGTCGTCGGCGTCTTCTGCCGTGGTGGTCGTCGTCGTCGTCCTTCGGTCGCTGTCGTCGTTGTGTTCGTGCGTCGTCGTCGTTGCCGTTGTCGACGCCGTTTTCGTCCGTCGTCATTAGTCCGTTGTCCGTCGTCGTCGTCGTCGTCGTCGTCGTCCCTGTCGTCCGTCGTTGTCGTCGTTGTCGTCCGTCGTTGTCGTCCGTCGTCCGTCGTCAGTCGTCCGTCGTCCGTCGTCCATCGGCCTTCGTCGTCCGTCGTCCGTCGTCGTCGTCGTCTGTCGTCGGTCGTCCATCGTCCGTCGTCCGCCTTCTGTCGTTGTCGTCGTTGTCGTCCGTCGTCCGTCGTCGTCGTCGTGCTCGTGGTCTTGCGTCGTCGTCGTCGTTTTCGTTGTCGTCGTTGTCGTCTGTCGTCCGTCGTCGTCGTTGTCGTCCCTGTCAGCAATTGTCGTCGTCGTCGTCCGTCGTCAGTCGTCCATCGTCCGCCGTCCGTCGCCTGTTGTCGTCCGTCGTCGCTCGTCGTCGGTCGTTTGTCGTCCGTCGTTCGTCGTCGTCGTCGTCGTCGTTGTCGTCGTCGTCGTCTTCGTCGTCGTCGTCCGTCGTCAGTCGTCCGTAGTCCGTCGTCCGTCGTCCGTCGTCGCCCGTCGTCGGTCGTCCGTCGTCCGTTGTCGTCGTCGTCGTCGTCGTCCGTCATTGTCATCTGTCGTCGTCGTTGTCGTCGTCGTTGTCCGTCGTCGTCGTCGTCGTCGTCGCCGTCGTCGTCGTCCATCATCGTCGGCGTCGTCGTCGTCATCGTCGTCCGTCGTCGTCGTCGTCGCTGTCGCCGTCGTCGTTGTCGTCGCCGTCGTCGTCCGTTGTCGTTGTCCTCGTTCTCGTCCTCATCCTCGTCCTCGACTCGTCGTCCGTCGTCGTCGTCGTCGTCGTCGTGGTCGTCGTCGTTGTCTTCGTCCGTCGTCGTAGTCGTCGTCGTCGTCTTCGCCGGGGGGCCCTGGCAGTGCTACAGAAGACGGAGGCTTGAGGGCCCAGAATGGGTCGCCCCCATTGAGCAACGCCCATCGGTCGTCGTCGTCGCCGTCGTCGTTGTCGTCGTCCGTTGTCGTCCGTCGTAGTCGCCGTAATTATTCTTCGTCGTCGCCTTCGTCCGTCGTCCGTGGTCCGTCGTCCGACGTCCGTCGTCCGTCGTCGTCCGTCCGTCGTCGTCCGTCCGTCGTTGTCGTCGTCGTCCGTCGTTGTCGTCGTCGTCGTCGTCCGCCGTCGTCGTCGTCGTCGTCGTTTGCATCCGTCGTCCGTCGTCCAGCGTCGTCGTCGTCCCTGTCGTCCGTCGTCGTCGTCTGTCGTTTGTCGTCTGTCGTTTGTCGTCCGTCGTCCGTCGTCCGTCGTCCGTTGTCCGTCGTCCGACGTCGTCGTCGTCGTCATCGTTGCTCGTCGTCGTCGTCCGTCGTCGTCGTCGGCGTCGTGTCGTCGTTCGTCCGTCCTCCGTTGTCCGTTGTCCGTCGTCCGTCGTCGTAGCCCGTCGTCGTCGTCGGCGTCTTCTGCCGTGGTGGTCGTCGTCGTCGTCCTTCGGTCGCTGTCGTCGTTGTGTTCGTGCGTCGTCGTCGTTGCCGTTGTCGACGCCGCTTTCGTCCGTCGTCATTAGTCCGTTGTCCGTCGTCGTCGTCGTCCCTGTCGTCCGTCGTTGTCGTCGTTGTCGTCCGTCGTTGTCGTCCGTCGTCCGTCGTCAGTCGTCCGTCGTCCGTCGTCCATCGGCCTTCGTCGTCCGTCGTCCGTCGTCGTCGTCGTCGTCTGTCGTCGGTCGTCCACCGTCCGTCGTCCGCCTTCTGTCGTTGTCGTCGTTGTCGTCCGTCGTCCGTCGTCGTCGTCGTGCTCGTGGTCTTGCGTCGTCGTCGTCGTTTTCGTTGTCGTCGTTGTCGTCTGTCGTCCGTCGTCGTCGTTGTCGTCCCTGTCAGCCATTGTCGTCGTCGTCGTCCGTCGTCAGTCGTCCATCGTCCGCCGTCCGTCGTCTGTTGTCGTCCGTCGTCGCTCGTCGTCGGTCGTTTGTCGTCCGTCGTTCGTCGTCGTCGTCGTCGTTGTCGTCGTCGTCGTCGTCGTCGTCGTCCGTCGTCAGTCGTCCGTAGTCCGTCGTCCGTCGTCCATCGTCGCCCGTCGTCGGTCGTCCGTCGTCCGTTGTCGTCGTCGTCGTCGTCGTCGTCGTCCGTCATTGTCATCTGTCGTCGTCGTTGTCGTCGTCGTTGTCCGTCGTCGTCGTCGTCGTCGTTGTCGCCGTCGTCGTCGTCGTTGTCCGTCGTCTCGGGCCCCGCGTAATGGGGTTGGCGAGAAATTCGGGGCCACGGAGGGCTGCAGAAATGGGGCCCTCTTGATGGCCCCGAGAGGGTGCCCTCAGTGCCCCAAAAGGGGGCCTTGAGGGACTGAGCATTGCACCTTTCTTCCCTCGTCGTCGTCGTTGTCGTCGTCGTCCGTCGTCCGTCGTCGTCGTCCGTCGTCGTCGTCGTCGTCGTCGTCGTCGTTGGTCGTCCGTCGTCCGTTGTTCGTCGTCCGTCGTCGTAGTCAGTCGTCGTCGTCGGTCGACGTCGATCGAAGTTGCAGCAGCAGCCATCGCCTCGGAAGAAGAAGAGATGCTGATACCGCTACCCTTCTCTCGTCGCCACGGCTGGATTCGCATCGAAATGTTGGTCAGAACGCACCCAAGGAGGGTCCGTGAAGCAGCGGTAAGGGTCTCGTTTTGTTTCCCCAGTCGCCGACGCCATCGCCGCTGTCGTCGTCGTCTCCGTCGCCATCGGCGACGGAGGCGCGCGTTGTCGTCGTCGATCGACGTCGATCGGCGTCGATAGATGTGACGATATGCTTTGTTCAGTCTGGACGTTCTCCCGGGCCTTCCAAGCCCGTGTTCGGGCCCATGGGCAATCAGAAACAGATGAGGGGCGACAATTGCCCCTGGGTGAGCGTTCGGACATCTGGGTCCAGGGGTTACAGGAACGGACCGGTGGATGTCGGGATCGCCGCCGCCGTCGTCGTCGTCACCATCGCCTCTGATGCCGACGTCGTCGCCGTCGCCGCCGCTGTCAATGGCGGCGTCGGCGGCTCGCCGCCGCCGCTGTCGTCGTCGTCGCCACCGCCGCCGCTTCGGCTGTGCGTCGCCGCCGGCACGGCCATCACTTGGATGGCGCACGTTACGGCGCAGCTCATGGGCGGCGCAACAAACAGAGAAACAATTGATGGCGCAACAGATGAGCAACGGAAGCACACGCGGTCGATTGCGCGGAGGTTCGCGCGTAAGTTTCTCGCGTGAGGTCGCGCGCAGGCGCCCTCTTCCACGCGGTGTGCCACGCTGGCGGCCCGTGTAAGCTGCAGCGTTAGGTCGCTATGTTTTCTGTCGTGAGATCATGTTCTTTTTGTTCGTCGCTCATATGTCAAAAGTCTCATTCCACATATAGCGCAACCCAAGGCGAAATGAAGCCCAACCCCATGGATAGCGCAGCGGACGTCGCAGCAAATGGATGGCGCAACCCATCGCGCAC